AACCCTGGCCCTAAGGTTATCGACCAAGTAAGCCTTCAATATCTATCCTATTAGCAACCGAGGTGAATCGAACTTATGATCTCTTAAATAATACACCCAAGTCCTATTCAACCACCCAATAATGGTTTAATCAAGTTTTGTTTACTTTAATTGTTTGCCATCCATGAAAATGGTTTCTGTTGGCTTAGATTTGGATATATATTGACAGTTCACATGGCAACTTCTTGAGTAAATTTTACTGCCCACGTTAAGACATAATATAATTATATTTACTTCAATTTCGTTGATTTTTATTGATCAAGACTTTTAGATCTTTTTTTCTATTTCTTACTTAAACATACTGCTCCACAATCAACTCTCAAATGCATGTTCTATCTCTTATATATATCTGTAAGGTATATATTTAATTTCCATGCGCAGTCTCTAAAAGAAAAGATATTATAATCTTGTGATTGAAAATTTATACAGAGATAACTAGCTTCATAATCATGTTGATCATAAACCATTTATATATGTTAATTCAGAACACCAAAATAAGAATTCTTCTACCAGTAAATATATAAAACTGTTCTTAACAGTGTCTGATTTTAATACGGGTTCATCCTATGAAATGTGAATCCAAATACGTTATATATTCCATAAATAGATATTTGCAGGTGATCTCCTAAGAAAAGAAACGAAGTAACTACACTGAATTTTGATTATATACGATTGTGATCCAGATATCGGTCATTTTGCCATCCTATAAAGAGAGAAATCGACTGTGCGATGATCTGAATTTTGATTATATAGAAACCTAATAACAACTAATTGTCTTATTGGATCAATAAATATCACATACTCATTTTTTAAGACTTAAACTCAAAATTAATAGATTTTACGAATGTCATTTTGTATAAATATAGTTTTAATTCGTGTTAGTAGATTGATCGTCGTCCGAAATGTTAATGTTATAATGATCGTCGTCATCATCAAAAAAGGCGCATCAAAATTATGTATATGTAAATTTGTATGTTTATTTCTCTTGTTAGTCGTTATTTACTTTATGTATCTTTAATACCTATTGATTAATTTACTAAGAAACTTATATATAAAAACTAGGAGGATAAAGCACAACACACATCTCGTCCTACAAATATCAATTGCCTCTGTTGCACAAGTTAGCTGTAATTCATAAAGCTATAGGCAATGAGGTTTCTCTCTCAAAACCTCCTTCTTCTTCTTCTTCTTCTTCTTATTCTTCCACTACATTTTTACTTGGTCATAGTGATAATGTGCACTCCATAAACATGGAGATGCAAAAGCTACCAGGAAACCAAACAGTGCCAGCATTTTTATATTGGAGATTCGATAGTGGATCCAGGCAACAACAAACATATCAAAACTATCAAGTGCAATTTTCCACCCTATGGGAGAGATTTCATGTGGTGGAAAACCAACCGGAAGGTTTTGTAATGGAAAAGTCCCCTCTGACATTTTAGGTACTAAATGCATTAATCCTCTCACAGAATAGAACCTTCAATGAACCAAAGATTAATAAATAATAATCTATGGAGACAAATGAATGACTAATTTTATGGTCATCAATGAAGATTAATTGGTCCAGAAATACATATATGAAAATTCAACATGCACCGATGCACGTCTTAATATGTACCTTATATTTCAGTGAAGAATTAGGCATTAAGGATGTTGCCCGCATATCTGGATCCGATTTGAAGCCTGAAGATCTCGTCACTGGCGTAAGTTATGCTTCTGGTGGCTCCGGATATGATCCTTCAACTTCCAAAATTGCGGTATCTCTCTTTTACTTCTAGTTTCCTGATATTTATTATATCGTATATATATAACTAACGTTGATTTGTTTTCATGGTGTTCATATCAGTCTGTATTATCATTATCAGATCAGTTAGATTTCTTAAAGAAATCCTTAACGAAGATAGAGGCCATGGTGGGAAAAGAACAGACTGCGACCATACTGTCGAAGGGCATTTTCATAGTGTGTACGGGAAGCGATGATATTGCAAATACTTACTTTAGTACTCCATTTAGGAGAGCTCACTATGATATCAATTCCTATACAGATTTAACAGTCAGTGAAGCTTCAAAATTCTTTCAGGTATGTTTCACAAAAATCTATACAAAAACCGTCGGTGATAATTTGAGAAAATAAAAGTTTTATGAGGGTGGCAGGCATGTTGGCAAGTTGTGTTTATTAATTGAAAAGGAGGAAACCAAAGCGGTATAAATGCAAGTGATACCAATAATAGCAGGGGATTGGCTCTCTTCACTGTCAATATAACAATAAAGATTGGTTTTAACCTAATCTCACAAACTTTCTTTCATAACCCGACGTAACAGTTCATAATTGGTCAGCTTGCAATAGGTGAGTTATAACATCGGTGTTGTAAAAGAAAGTTTGTGAGATTAGATTAGATTATAAGTGTAATATTGTCCGTCAATATAATCTAGCAAGGACACATCCTTACAAAGAATTGTTTAAAAAAAAAAATCCTTTGTTTTACTTAAATATATTTAAGTGTATACATGTATAAAGACTTGTTAGCATTTCTTCCAGTATAATTTATGAAAGTAAAATTATTGAAGAAGATTTTTTGAAAATAAAGTTTTTACTATACAATTGTTGGTATGCACGTTAAAATAGCTTTCTTAATCACCTATGGGTGGCCGTGTGATACAATAAGGACTCTTAAGTGTATAATTTAAAAGGTTCTAAGTTCAATTCCCCTCCGTTGTTAATAGATTTGTCTGGTCGTTAACTTCAGGGTCCTAGGAAACTAGTTGAGACACCTCTGTTTGCCCAAAAAAAAAAATAGCTTTTAGAATGATATTATTATATTTTATCGATCTTAGTAAGGACAATGAAGATGGAAAGAACCCTTGAGAAATAAATGAATAACAGACAGGGAAGAATGAAGAATATTAAGAGTAAATAATCAGTATTAAAAGTGGGAAAACAAATGGCAGGAACTTTATGGAGTAGGAGCAAGAAGAATAGGACTATTTAGTTTACCACCAATTGGGTGTGTACCAGTCCAGAGAACACTGAATGGAGGAATTCAAAGAGGCTGTTCAGAAAAAGCCAACCAAGCTGCTCTACTCTACAACTCGAAGCTCTCCTCTTTAGTTGATTCCCTCAATCAACAATACCCTGACGCTAGATTTGTCTACTTTGATGTCTATAACCCACTCCTTTCCATCATCCAAAACCCTACTCAATACGGTAAGTATTTTATTATTTCTGTTTTTTTCATTGAATTCATAAAAACTTATGGTAATGGGTTTGATTCATTCAGGGTTTGAAGTGGCCACAAAAGGATGCTGTGGGACTGGAAATTTAGAGGTGAGCATACTCTGTACACGCGTAAGTGATCCACTTACATGCAAAGACGATACAAAATATGTGTTTTGGGACAGTTACCATCCCACTGCCACCGCTTACAAAATTCTTTCCCCGGCCGTTCTCAGCAACAGCATCAACAAATTCTTCTAGACCACTCAAAGGCAGTCCCTGTATAATTAAATAAAAATTGGAACTGTAATTTGTGAATGGCATTACTTAATTTCAATTAAGCTGAGCTTAATTGAAATTAATTTATAATATTAGTTATAAATTATTGTGGGCCAAAAGTTGTCTTGATCCTGCTTGAGTTTTGTGATATCATGAATCAAAGGAGCTACATTACTATTGACAATGTTAATTTGGAAACAATTGGAGAGCGTTTGGAATCAACGTAAAACTAACCACTCACAAATAATAAAAAACAGTAAAGAGAAAGAACGCGCGATTTATCGTAGTTCACCCACAATCGGGTTACATCAAACAAAGTCAATATTATTTCAATATTATCTCAATGAATGTATTTGTCATGACTTTCTATATCACTCATATAAGAGAATAATGTGTTTAAATACTAATTTAGATAAACCATAAACTACTAGAATTTTTATTCATAATCCCACTAACATCGTAGTGACAACTTGAGGTCGCATGATTGTCGAAGTGGTCGTCAACTCTAACAAATTTAATACATATCTCATTGTTTTTACGCTTCTAAGAAAAAAAGAGATGACACAACAACAAAAGATGGGTAATACGAGTTAAAATCAACATAGAGATATACTTTCTATTTTCCCTTTGCTTGAAGGAGGGTGACCAAGTTTATGAAAGCAAGACAATTTTCAAAAAATTACTGAGGATTTTTTTTTTAGTAACTGAGGTAATCAGACACAATTGCCGGTCCAAAGTAATTATACAATTATAATAAATGCCCTTAAACACAAGACCCTTAGATGTAGCTAATCTCGCCAGCCAAAGGGTTTATTATCTGGCCAAAGGGAGAGATTAATGAGGATTTTTGTGGATGTGAAATTTGAATAATAATCTTAAAGTGGGGTATGACGTTTGGAACTGGGCCTATGTTAGATCGGTGTTATGCACATAAATTACCCAATATATTTTTTTGTTTTGTAATCAAATGTCTCTTTTCGTTCATACAAGACAACTACCACATTAAACAAATATTTGATTGCTGCTTCACTATCAGGGAAAGCAAAATAGACTAATTAAATTTGCAACCACTTTATTAACTAAAATAACCCCAACAAACATCTGTATTGAAAGTGTACCCAAATCCCTTTCTTTCTTCTTTATGTCATATCGTAAGTATCGAGTATTATTTCAAGGAAGAAATTCGTACTATCTATTGAAGTTCACTAGGCAGGCAGCAGCATTACATAACTGATGGATTTAAATTTCATTCTCCATTACTTGTCATGTCACCTAAGCTTTCATGGGCACTACTGCCTTAACCTCCCAGCCCCAGCAGTGACATTACTGGGAGTAAGTACAGTTTCCTGCATTCACCTTCGAGATCTTTAATGAATAATAATGCAAACAGGCGCACAAGTAGACATCATGAAAAACATGCTAAACAATACTGTTTACCAACAAAAATTCAAAGAGATAGTGGCGGTAACAAAACCAGTTACATATCCCTCTTATATTAAAAACGTTTTAGCACATAGAAATAGTAATACTATGGAATTACTAGGGAGTGGTAGAAATACTAGTACCCCCAGACCATTGAGAAGAAAACAAGCCATTCTTTCAAGCATATATTGAGAATTTACAAGTAACCAGTTTCGAATATATTATTCTGACAACCATCATCTAAATCTTTCAACTCCTAATGCAGATCTCAAGTTCCATATGACCTAGAACTGCCCAGCAAAAGCTACAAAATTGCATACACCCTACTCTAACCACGACCCAAACTATAGAAGCAGAAAACAAAACTATATACACATGGAGGGGCAATGAGAAGGTTGCCATGAAATGTGATCAACGAAGCTTGTTCTGAGCAACAGCTTGGCATAACTCATCTTCATAGAATAGAACTCGATTAGAAGCCAAAGATTTGCAAAGGGGCTTTGACAGAACAGATGGTACCATGCATCTTGAAGAAAATGCTGAATCTTGGAAGAGAACAGCGGCAATTTGTCTCATTTCAGTGATTTTCATACGAGAAGGTGGCCGGGGACCATGCCTGGGTGCTTTTGGGGTATGTGGACTTCGCATTATAACACCCCTTCCTTCACCCTTGCTGCATAAGAAAAAACGAAACACACAAACATTTAATGAAAATGTAAAACAACAAGGAAGCCATTAAAGTTTTAGATACTTACGTCACAAAAGGCCAGTGCTCAGTTGGCCGTGGGGTTAGAGTTCTCAACATCTCCTGCCGAGAGCGATCAGGTGTGGTGTAATTGAAGTATAATTGCCTTGCAACCACAACCTGTCAATAATAACATAACCTCGTTTATCCATTTTCAACTAGATATTATCACATAACAAACCTGCCCTAAGAAAGTAGAGAGGGAGACTTACAGCTTTTCTGACTCTTTTAGACACATGAAAGACTGCCTTCAGTTGGTCATGATGCAAGTGGCAAAGTATTTTGACCTCAAACATCACAGAACAAACAGAAATCAGTACCAAAGGGTAGAATATTGTTTCGGAAAGAATAAAGTACAAAGAGCATTAGTTGAAAATGATGACGAAAGTATGTCCAGTACTGGTTTTTTTTAACCACAGTATTTTGTTTATGTTCGGTACTGCTCTTTTTTTAACCACAGTATTTTGTTTACTGTGTGTATGACTTTTTTCTTTTCTTATGGTGTGTGCATTTCCAGAACTTGCATCTTGCATCATTCTCCTTAACCACAGTTACTATATGTTAATAGTTTCTCAATAATTTATTCTAAACAAGAAAGAAACAACTTAGCATACAAGTAATCATAAACCAACAAAAGGCAAGATTACTCTCCAAAACATACACATGCATCTAAGAAGCTCAGTGAAAATCTCCTAATTACACAAAAATCACATGAATATATTAAATTTATATAACATACACCCTTCTCCATGCAGCCATACCTGATGCAAAATCCAGTTGTCCCCAACTAAATTCCTCAAGAAATTAGAAATTTTCTTGGTACACTTCTTGTTCCAGATTTTATACTCGAATAAAAGTTACATCATTTCAGCTAATTTCTTGCACCTTCTCCAACTAAATTCCTCAAGAACATGGAAATTTTCTTTAAACACTTATTGTTCGAGGTTTTTTACACCCATGCAAGCAGACATATATATACAACCTACTCTAGTGATCTAAGTTGCACCATTCCATAGCTATAAATGAACAAGGTTTTTAAACTAATGAAGAAGATAACTTTTTTTATATGCAGAAATCCCTAGAACCTCACTTTTGAAATGCCCAAGTTGAAAACTAGAGATGCTGCTGGACTGTACAACCTTTAACAATCAAAAAGTCCCTTTGATGTAACATCACAAGTAAGGTTCCAGAGATGATAGAAATATAAAAGCATTAAGTTACAAGACTTATACACCATCAACAAATCAACCCAAAAAAGCAATATCATTGCAGAATCTAGAGCATCCAAATTGCAACCCCAGAGACTTATAGCCACACAAATTTTCATTCATCAAAGAGAAAACAGGCAAGGTCACATAGTAACGATCATAGAAGAATCTAAGCAAGAACTTTTACCATAAAACACATATAATCAAACATTTAAATGAAACGAACAAAGAAACCCAATTTAAAAAATACCAGCAAATCCATTGGAAGAGCCTCAAGCCTTGACTCTGATTCGCAGTCTTCATCTCTAGGTGTCTTTGGTGTCCCCATCAAATGATTCTGCTTACGCAAGTCCACAGGAGATAACATCATAGGGCTTTTATCAAAACCCCTGTTTTCAATTCTGTGGTCCTCATTCTCTACCTTCTTGGAATCAAAAACAGCAACTCTTTTTTTTCCCAAATCAGTACATGGCTTGGCAGTTGAGGCCCTATTGTAACGAAGCTGAGCTAGTGCACCAGGTTTAAGATACCTATTGCTGGAGTTCCGCAATCGCCTTTTTTGTTTGGGAGTTTTTGTTTCCCCATCTTTTGGCGACACTTTTCCCATTATTCTACTAATCCTTTGTCACTTTATCAGAATTTTCACTATCGTCCCCAATATGAACAAATACCAATTACAAATTAAAACCTGAGACATGCAATTTCATGAAATTGTTTCAATACACAGATAAATATCATAAGTTACAACATCAAGATCATGTACCTGCAATTAAAATCACCAGAACCTATACATTGCCAAACATAAAATTAACTTCTACTCTCACAACTTATCGATCATTAACAGAACAAATCAATCATACTTACATGATTACAAATTAGATGACTCTTCAGCCATCTTTCATTGAATTCTGTACAAATCAAAGCACAAAGTTAATCAAAAACCCTAACAAACAAGCCAGTTCCAATCATGAACATCAATTAACCAATAAACGAACCAAAGATCATCAAAACTGAGCAAAAACCAGAGCATATAAGAACTGCAGTCCAGAAATCTAAAGCTTAAATGACGAAAAACAGGATTAAAGTTACACTACTAACCTTAAAATCAACCAAAATCAACGTTAAAAGAAAACTGAAAAAAAATTGTGACAGAAATGTAGAGAGAAGCAGAGAGACAGAGACTAGAGAGAGAATGTATTACACGGAACAAGAGATGGGGCCGCTAGGGTTTGGTTGCTATTTGAATTTCTTTCCACTGCCCGCCAAATTTTCACCACAACTGGTGCTAAGAAAACAAAAACCGTAGAAAGTGAGATGAATATAAATTCTGGTTATTTGTTTACGTGGCGTGTTTGTATTGGGTATTAGGAGCAGTGGGCCATTATTGTCTTTAATGCTTAGGTTACCGGGCTTATCGGACGGCGGACATTGCGTGGCCTGGGAGTGATCTAACTAGATCTCCTCAGCATAAAAAGTGGAATATTATTTAATTTCAAAAATAAGATTTTTGAGAGGGAAAGTAATATATTTTCAATGACTAAAATACCCTCAATATTCCATTTCATTGGAAGATCTCAGCCCGTCAAATACTTTGATCTGGTTTTTAATGGGTACCCTTTTCAGAATCCAAAGAAGAGATATTAATTTTTTTTTTTTTTTTTTTTAACAAGTACGGGACAAGGCGTGGGTAGTTTTGGACTTTTAATTTAGGTGACGAGAATTAAGGCGGGACGTTCTCAGGCGGTATACATGAGAAAAATAAAAACGGTGAAAGGACGAATTAAACCCTTTCACGCCTCATTAATTACACGAGAGTGACGCTCTTAGGGTATTTAATGAAGAGGGTGTTGCAGTCCAGGGGGTGCTGGGCTTGGACAAACGATTTGCATGTGAAGTCGTTCAATTGGAATTTGGAAATTAGAAAGCAGTCAAAGTAATGCGAATGTGGATCTAACAAAAGTCTTTGGTCCACTTGGGATCCGATATCATCATGAAAATAATATTATTAGTAATAATTTATGTTTATAAACTTATTATTATTAATTGTGTTAATGTATATTGGATCCAGACACATGGTGAACTCGTAGATGAGTTTCCAAAAGTATTGTCCACTTTATTCCTTGGGTCTGCACGATTTTATCTTGAAAATGTGTCTCTAAATAATGAGGGTGTACTTGTGTTATTCCAAAACTCTCGTCTCCCAACTGATGTGGGATTTTGGTTCTAACAAACTGTAACTTCGTTTTTTATTTTTTATTTTTCTCTTCTGAAATTATATCATATGACATATATTTGATATATTCACAAAAAGAATTAATAATTTTCTAATGTTTGGTGTACAAACATTTTCTCCCTCTAATTTTGGGACTAACGTTAACACTTTTAAGTAAAGATTCTATCGGTTAAATGTTAACACCTTCGAATAGATGTTATATCAATTAAATGTAACATGCAAGAGAAAAAAGAAACATTTTAAATAAACAGTTTATGATTTAAATTAAAAGACAAACCATTTTTACATTAAAAATTTGTAATAGTACTAAAACAATTAACCGTTTGGCAAAAATTGTCGATAACTACCTTTGGGTAGCTCAAATGATAGGATGAGTGTTGAGTTGTGTGATTAAGATGCATAGTCTCAAGTTCGGATCCCCCTTTCTCCTAAGATTGAAGAGGAGAGGATGTGGCGGTGGATTGATGCAATTTTTTAACTGTTGTTTCATAGAAAGTTAAAACCAAACTTTCAAAGACATGTTTGTCAAAAGTTTGACATAAGTGATATGTAAACTAGAAAAGAAACACCACATTTGAATAGACCCGAGTAAGCATAGTTTACTTTGTAATTGTCGATGTTTGATTTTTGACACCAACGACTTGTACATTCAAAGTGTTAAACAGTTCTTAGAAATTACACGTGAATGATTATGAATATTGATTATGGTGCAGAGACTATATATGTTTACAGAAACATAAATAATAGATTGACAAGAGAGATTTTTATAGTGGTTCGGATGCTTAAAGCAAATCCTACATCCACTGTTATTTTATTATTCTCTGACTATAGGTGTACAAAAATGGAGAAATATTTTGTTTATAGAGAGAAAATAATAAAGCTCAAATGTTTGTCTAGCTCTCGTATGCTCAGCCAACCATTTTTTCATGAAGAGAGATGCTCATTTATATCTTTGAAGTCAATATAATTAGTGTTTTTACAAGTTATCTTGACACGTGGAGACCACTTCTTAATCATTATCTTAAAATGAGATAGGATTCATATAAAATATCTCTTGTAGACGGTTTGAGTTTTTGACAGTTAATACCACATTATCTTTAAGTGTTTGTTGAACTCTGATTGGTGATGTTGATATTAATGCGTATTTTTGGCACAACAATAATGAATATAGTTAAATAAATCAATATAATCAACAAGACCATTTAATTAATTTGAAAATGATTTTGATATTATTGAAATTTGGAAGCAAATTTCAATGACACTTTGAAAATATGTAGACAAACACGAATCCTGTCCCCTTCTCTACAGCTTTTGAGGAGTCTGGTTAATGTGTATTTTTGGCACAACAGTAATAAATATTGTTAAATAAATCAATATAATCAACAAGACCATTTAATTAATTTGAAAATGATTTTGATATTATTGAAATTTGGAAGCAAATTTCAATGGCACTTTGAAAATATGTAGACAGACACGAACCCTGTCCCCTTCTCTACAGCTTTTGAGGTGTCTGGTGATGATGATGCTCTTCAAACCCCATTTTGATGGCCCATTTTGGGCCCTCACTAAGAATTAAGGCTGCATCAAAGCCCAGCTGTAACTCTTATTCAAGCCCACTCGCCTACATTTTTGTTCTTCATCATGCCCGTAGATCTTCAACTTATCACCTTCGTTTTCACCCATAGAGACTAACCTCAATTTCGATAACATTGATTTATCAAATGTTTATAGTCAACTCTGAGATTCTCCTTTGTATAGTCCCGTTGACCTTAGAGATAAAACCCTAAAGCAATAATGTTATGTTTTATCAAGTGAGATAATCCACGTTAATCACAGGTTGGTGTGATAAAGAAATTTTTTTTCGTATAAATATATAATAATGATGTGTTATCAACGCCATAAATCGGAATTTTAATTTTATATATATAATACTATTGAATCTAAAAAACACGTTTATTAGATACAATAAACTCAATTAAAGGTGAATTTAAAGAAGTTGTAGTTTCTCATATAATCACTTATTTCTTAAATAATGATCGAAAAAAATGAACATGGAACCATCTATTTTTCTTATAATTTATTTTATTGAATGATTTCAAAAATAGGTATTCTAGCTTTTAGAAAATCAATTACTAAAATGCCCTAAGATTAAATATAAATTCTATTTTTTTTTTATAAATAAATTTTCAAATCAAATTAATGAAGTAATAAAGAATTCTTTAAAACGAAAAATACATAAACTAGCCTAGGAGTCGTTGGAATTTTTATTTTATTTTTCCATTGAGTGAGATTACATTGCTAGCACCATTAAGATCATCGGCTTGTGATCTATGTAATGGTGTTGGCGGCACTAAACCATAGAAAGCCGACAAAGTTTCAATCAAACTTTCTCCAACTTATTGTAGCTTAAAGTCTCTGGATTTTCACAAACTGCTAACACCATTGCATAGATCGTCGGCTTGCAAGTTCAATGGTGCCAACGGTGTACACTCACTAGCCGCTAGCAGGCAACCATAGGCCAGATTTCAATTTTGTCTTTTCTAAATTCTAATTCTTTTATTTTAAGAAATTGATTTTAATAATTGAAAAAACACTAATTCAAATATACCTATTTTGGTCTTTTTATATTATTAATGTATCATCTCCTAAAACTAAAAATGATTTAAAATAAATAAAAAACCATTAGACTATTTCTAAAATTTATTATTTTAAAAGTAGATCCATTAGTAATTATAAAACAATCCTGAAGTAAGCCTAAATTAATAAAATATCTTATTTTTTAGTAATGTTACGTCCACAACTGGATTTCACAACCCTTAATGTGCCTGCTCATAAATAAGTAGGTGAAATCTATTTGCAAACTGATAAATTACAAGCTGTCACGTCTAGGTTAACCCAACTCAACATAATCTGCAAACAAAAGGCCACTCCCCCTTCACAAATCCCAACTCTTACATTTGCAACATAAGATATTTTATTAAACAAGTCTTAAAATATAAATAAATACTATTTATCCTCTACAAATCTGTACGTGACCTTAAAATCAAACTTGGAATATGTTCCTTAGATGGCTACCCTAACGGAGTTGAGAAGTGAAGATAGGACGAAAACGAATTGGAAGATGTTGAATTGAAACGGCAACAAACCGATGATGATGATGACTGGCACGGGCCTCTCCAGCTTGCCAAAGGACCACAACCCCAAGTCAATTCAATTCTCAAGTCTCCGTGTTTTAAAAGGCAGACAAAATTGACGTTATGTCTTCTTCAAGGATATATTAATTCATGAATTAATACAACACCTATAATATTTTCCCATAAATTTTTTCAAACAATTATAACATGAACATGGTAATTCACAATTAATCAACTATGATTTATCAGACACATTAACTAATTATAAACTGCTACAATGAGATAAGAGAAAGTATGTGAATAAATGTTGTAAACGTAACATTTTCCTTAATTCATTAGAGTCGTACATTCCAAAAGCAATCTAAAATTGAACGAAATTTTATGTGTACTAACTAAAACCATAGTAACCCAATATATTGTTATAGTGTGTGTGTTTTTATTTTTTTTTTAGTTTATTTTTTTTTGTTTTAATATATATATACACATACTATAACAATCCTATATATTTGCGACAACAAATATTTAAGAGGCAATCTCGTTCACAACATTAATTAAAAAATAATTTTATGTCCACTAATTAAAATTATTCTAATTCAATTATAAACTGACGTTATAATTATCTTTTTTTGTCATTTCATTTTCCTTAAAATTTTAAATAAAAGAATATTTTAATATTTTAATTGTTAGTACTTAAATTAAAATGCACGTAACATTACTCGTAATTAAACGGTGCAGAAACTTTTGCTCCTAACAAAGAAATAAATTTTTTTGATACCATGCATGGTTTTCCGTAACTTTTATTAATTCTTCAGCCAAATCAATTAATTAATCATTCTGCTTTACAGC